GTGGTATCAATCGTGGATCTATCCCTGGATGGGCCGACACTGGGATAGAGGAACCCGACACACACACACACACACACACACACACACGTAATCGCGTAATCGCATAATCGTGGCGCGTGCTGAAGTTCGGGTTGCGGGAGCTTTGCGTACGTCTACATGGGTGCACGTGCGACGTTCAACGCGCTGAATCAACAACGATCGCGAATCACGGATCTATCCGTGAATACGAACGGCAAACCCTTGCCAACCGTTTTACGAGATAATTGTTCCGACGATCTGATCTCCGGTAATGTCATACCGTCAGATAACAAGCTACGGATAACGTTTTCAACGGAAGAACGCCGTTCTTTAAATCGTGTTTTGACCAATGATTATATCAAGCTGGTGTTAATCGGAGAGCAGAGCTACCAAATTTATCTCTAGGGTTATATCATTCCATTTCTATGTTATTATTTTTGCGATCAGTGGTCTTCTATTTCGAAGATTTTCTCACTCTACGAACTAACTCTCTTTCCTTCATCTCTTTTCTTTCGAAGGAAGGCTAATAAAACATGCTGATAAAATACGCGCGAGATGAAAAGTCACAGCTAGCTAGACACAACAGAGGCTAGTGCCAGAGAGAAAAACGGGGAGAAGGGAATTTCAAGCTGGAAGGCTGTTAAAGTACGTCTATCCTTGGATATCGAAGAGCCAGCAACAAACATACGGCGGCGAAAAGAGAAAGGGAGAGAGAGAGAGAGAGAGAGAGAAGAGGGAGAATGGATCCCTTTCTAGATAGATAGGTGCGGTCACTGTCATAGGAGGGTTGACAAAGGCTGACCAGGGGTAGAAACATTCAAATGGTAATCGGCGAACGTCTAACATATACCGACCCTCCGACCCCGGTGCTCGCGCTTAAGGGGCTGCTCGCACCCCCTTGGCACACACCCTGCACATTCGCACCAGAATCAAACCAAATATTGGCAATATCATCCCCGGCGTCGCTCTCTCTCTCTCTCTCTCTCTCTGCCTCCTACATTTCGCTGGGAAACGATGTCCATTTGAATGCACGATTCCATTACCGACGACGATATATCGGCCCGAGGATATTATGGGATTAGGATTCCAAGGGAAAATCTGAAAGAACAACCGGTGAAACTCGGCCATGCCGAAGATACCGCACGTTTACCGCAGTTTAACTATCCCGCTGATTGTGAAACATCGCTCGCGTTACGCGCGTCTTTTTCGTCATTTAAATCCAGGCACCCATTCTCCCCGTATGGAGTCGCGCAACTAAATTTTTGCAAAACTGTAAAATTAATTTATGAATAAATGTTCTTTATAACTTATCATCAGCGAGTGTTTCAATTTGAGAGGCCAAGCGGAGAAGTTTGATTTATATCATCGATTGAAATGTTCACAATATGATTGACTCGATAATATATGAAAATCCCCAGTTGAATCGAATTT